ATGGTTATAGGCGACGCCGTGTTCTCACAAAGCTACATAGGTTTTGATGGATCACACTACACAGAACCAATTCGATCATATGTTCATCAGTAAAACGTTCAGAAGGACGATGGAAGACGTGAAAACCACGAGCGGAGCTGACATATCTTCAGATCATCAGAAGTTAGTGGCCAAGATGAAATAGAAACTAAAAAAGCACTATAGAACTGAGAAAACGACACCACAAAAGTTTAATAAGACTCTTCGTCGAGATAATAGAAAACTCAACGAATTTAAGATAGCTGTCAGCAATGTTTTTCAAACCCGTCACTATCTACTTAATAAAGAGGGAGCTAACATGAAAAAAACAATTGGAAAGAGACTAAAGAAGCAAAAACTTTAGCATTTCATAAGGTTCTGGGCCACAATAATAAACATCACAAGGAATTGGTCCAATTTGATACTCTGGATAAGATTCAAGAAAGGAAGAACAGGAAGACAGAAATCAATAACGGCCAAACAAGAGCAGAGAAAGCCAAACCACAAGCTAAAAACATAGAAGCAAACAGGTGAAGAGGGGTATTAAAGCTGATAAACGTGACTATGTGGAAGATCTGGCGATGAGAGCACAAAAAGCTACAATGGAGGGAAATATGAGGCAACTATATGATACAACGAAGAAGCTCGTTGGAGAACATGATAAAACAGAACGAAACAAACAGTCAAGAATAAGTAAAGCAAACCAATCGCCGGGTTTCAAGAACAACGAAACAGGTGGGTCGATAACTTTGAAAAACTCATGAAGCGACCAGTCCCACTGAACCCATCCAACATGCAAGTAGCACACACAGACCACATAATTAATGTTGATCCAACAACAGTTGAAGTAGTCAGTATGGCCTTCAGATAAATCAGGAGTGGCAACGCAGAAGGAGCTGCCAATATACCAGCTGAGGCACTGAAAACATATATAGCAATACCTTCAAAGATGTTGTATGCTATGTTCAGCAAGGTGTTGGAGGGAGAATAAATACCAACAGATTGGAAGGAAGAACGCCTTACCAAGATACCGAAAAAAGAGATCTCAGTAAGTGTGAGAACAATAGAGGAATCACATCACCAGTATCAGTACCAAGAAAAGCTTGTTGAACAAAATGAAAGATTCATTTGACGCCCAGAATCGAGACCAGCAGGATGAATTCCGTAAAGATCGGTCGTGTACCGATAAAATTTCAACACTACGGATTATTAAGAAACAATCGTTTAAGTGGAACTCATCACTATAAATCAACTCCCTTGACTTTGAGAAAGTATTGGACAGCATGAATAGGATGATATAATGGAGGCTTCTTCGTAATTATAGCGTACCTGAGGAGATGGTCTATACCATATGGAAATCTCACGGCGAACTATACTGCAAGATCGTGCACGGAGGGCAGTACAGAGACTGATGCCAAATTAAGACCATTTTGAGACAAGGTGGGTTACTATTGGCCTTTCTCTTTAAACTCGAGGGTCTGTTAAATAATGAAGGCGTCGACATCTGAAGGGAAGCATGGGACACAGTGGACAGCTGGGATGCAACTAAACGAATTGGACTTCGCAGATATTCTAGCTCTTTTATCCCACACACAGAAACACATTAAAGTAAAAACGGCCAATGCAGTAGCAGCCTCTGTAGCAATAGATCTCAATATGCACAAAGTAAAAAAGCAAGATCTTCAGACACAAAACGACATGCACCAACCGAATCACACTTGACGAAGAAGCTTTGGAAGATGTGCAAACTTTTGCATACCCTGTCAGCTTCCCTTATAAACTAGATGGATCAGATACAGATGCTAATGCACAGATTGGAAAAGCAACGGCAACATTTCTATTGTTGAAGAACATTCGGGACTAAAAACTTCTTTTAACCTACATCAAAGTCATCATTTCCGATACGAACATCAACACAGTTCTATTGTATGGAGCGGGAACTTCAAGGAATATAGAAACCATCATCCAAAAGATATGAGTATTTATTGACAGTTGTCTACGCAAGATACTGAGGATCCGTTTGACAGACACTAAGAGCAACAACCTACTGTGGGTGAAAACAAACCAGATTCCAACTTTACGGGACATCAAGAAAAAGCATTGGAGATGGACAGGATATAGATTACATCACGAGTCAAGGCCTTACTTGGATCCTTAAGTCCAAAGGAAGGGAGGAAGGCCAAGGAACAAATTGCACCGAGGATTCAGGAGCTGTTTCACAGTAGTGTTTCACTCACCACCTTTATCACACTGTGGAATAAATATGTGAATAAGTGATTCCAGTGAAGTAGTAGTCGTCATTTAAGAGTACTTCTAACTTTGAGGGAATCAAAGTTTCCTATGAGATTGAAAATCGGGACATTCAAATTCATAGTTTGAGATACTGTATTTGTGCTATTCAAATGGCAATTAATCTACAGAACTAAGACGTTTACGAATTATTGATCAATGAGTAATGACCACTGTTATGCTGATATAGTCCTTCAAGTACTAATCAAAATATATCAAACAAGTTACAATGTCACCACTGGTCTAAGTACCTTGACATCGTATGTTGAAAAGAGTTGATAAATATCATAAAAGTTTTTATAGATGGAAAACTGAATAAGTTAAAAATATTTTTTTCAGTGAAATAACCTGTAACTTGAAATGAAAACACTAACCGTTTATTATAATATGAAGGAATTAATTGATTTAGACCCTAAACTCTGTAGTATGATGAAAACTAACCAGTCAAATATTATAAAATGAGAAACAAGTTGACGATTCGCCGTATTAACTAAATCAAGTTTATGAGTTCATAAATTTCATCTAGTTGGTTTACAATATGAAAGCAAAAATGAAATTGCACAGAAATATCTATTTCTTCAGGTATCAGTCGGCCTACTCTACTTAGTCAGTCAGCAAAAACGTAGAACTTGGTACGTACATTAATCAGTTCAAGTTGCCATACCATATTTGCACAGAGATGTAATTGTCAATTCAAATCCCATAGTGGTAGAGCTAGTAGAAGGAAGTATGAGCAGTAATCGAAACGATTAGAGTTTGAAGATATTATGCAAGGAGTATAATTCAGTGAAATAAATTTGAGAGGAGAAAGATGAAGGTCATCAGGAATTCAAACGATTTTGAGCCATGTCATTCAAAGTCTCTAACCATTGGTTAACTACTGTCTCGCAGACCCCAACCACGTAGTTGTAGACTACATGTTAACAATCATTCATTTCAGCCAGTAATTATTTTTCTAAAATCTCTACCAAGTTTCTAATTTGAACTGGTTGAATAAAAATTAAGGTCAATAGTTGTTACATTGCATAATATACATATCTCTAGAGATGCAGATGATTAAATCTATTAGCTTTATCATTTCAGTGTCGAAATTCAAAATTATTATTTACATTCTAGGACCTTGGATTGCTCGTGAAAGCTGTAAAACAATCAATGACTGAATATACGCAGTTTTCGTGCCCTAGGTATCAAAAACTATAGTTTCGATTCATACGGTACAAATCTATAAACATTTTAATTCCTCAGATCGCTCTCGTATAATCTTTTAAATATCCGGATGTGATGTAACTCTATAACATAAAACCCTGAGATAAATTTATCTATCACGCACTTCAGATTGCTTTGAATCAAATCCATCTTACTTATCATGAATGATGTTGCCCAAGTATGTAAACATTTCCACATCTTCACAAGTTTTTTCCATCAAGTATAATTTGGTTAGTGCATGATTGAAACAATAATCAATATATAACTAGTTATCAATTATTTATTTTCGTTTTCATGTTTCTTCAAGTGATTTCGTTTTACAGTAATAGTAACAAACACATTCAACGAAAAATTCTTATCTGATTAACTGACACACACAGTTCAGTTATTTTATGACTATTGTTCTAATTATTTTGGAGTTTGACTTAATAATACTATCAACATTTACTCGTGTCTAACAATGTAGAATATTAGCATTACGAGGTTGCGAAGATTTTAAAACTATGAATCGATCAATGTTAGACCACCATTAGAAGAAACCTAGAAGCACTGGACGGCCTTTTCGTCCTGGTATAGGACTCCTCAACAGTGCGCATCCACGGCCATCCAGTGCTTCCAGGTTTTTAATGGTGGTCGTCTAAAACTGATCGAATCATGGTTTCAAAAAATGTAGGATATAACATTGTTATTCAAATTTTAACCCATTCACTTTCAAATTCCTGTTGATCTGAACAGTGCCAGTTTATAATACAACCATTTGAAGAACGAGAACCACAAACAATAACGAGACAAACACATAAAGGAACGGAATGTAACATGGCAACTGAACAATCGGTTCATTTGATCCAATGTCTAGGTTGTGTTTTTTTCCATCGGTTTGTCATGTATGAGCAGTTATCATCATTTCGATTATGTGATACAACGTTTATTTTGTTTGAGGGTTATTCGGTTGGATTCGCGATCGATGAACTTTTACAGTTACAGTAAAGTACATATATATTATTGTTCTCTCACCCTTTGATTTTACATGAAGTAAAATGTCATTCCCTTAACCTATTGTGATTACTATTCACCAGTTTCTGATCGTTTCTGTTCGTTTGTGTGTTCTTCACCTGAAATCGCTATCCCAGATTTAAAATTTTTAGCGTCTTATTACCATTTTTATGATTATCAACATTATTACCCACCTCCACTACACACACACACACACACACACTTAAAGTGTATCGAATCACACTGATTTTCCCAATAATATTAAGTTTACGCTCATCAATAGAGAATGAATTTATCAAAACTAATATTGATCCAAACAAATGTAATCGAGCCCTAACACAATGGATGACCTATATCAGTCAAGTTCAGTTAAGTGCTGCATAGTTTTAAACTATGATCAAGTCAACAATCATTTCAGTTCAAATAAAAAGAAACGGTACAATTTATGTAGTTTAACATCTGGAAAAAAAAACAAAAAAACTTGAAAAACTTACTAAAATATTTTTCAGCACAACTTTTGAATTACGTTTATTCACAAATTCACTAAATTTACGTGCATGTTCCAATTCTTCATTGGCACTTTCACGGAAAAATTTCGCAAAACCTGATAATCCAACTTCTGGTCTGGATAGGTAGGAGGCCTATGAATGATGATGCAGAAAATTTGTAAACAAAGCAATTTATGTCAGTTATTTTTTTTTGTAAAACTTTACATCGGAAAATAAGAAATATTTGAAATCATCAATCAATCATTGTTAGAGAACATCATTAGAAACCTGGAAGCACTGGATAGCCGTGAAGTCCTGGTATGGGATTCATCAGCAGTGGGTATCCATGACTCCTGCCCCTCGCAGGATTCGAACCCGGGGCCTTGTGCGCGAATGCCTAACAATCGGACCACTGAACCGGCATCGAACGGTGTTAATGTCTAACTCTGATTGATCTAGGGATTTTACGCGATCTCGCCCATTTGTCTTTGGTAATTACTGCCTACAATCGACAGGGTTGAACTCCATTAGTGACGTCTTAACTAGGACTCGGGGAATTTCCTCACGAAGCTAGTCATTAGTGAGCACTATTACGATATTTTGGGGCAGAGTTTTGGAGGTTTCTGTTTTTACACATTTGAAATCAGTGCTTCCAGGTTTCTAATGGTTGTCTAACAATGACTGATTGATGATTTCAAATGTGTAAAAACACAAACCTCCAAAACTCTGCCCCAAAATAAAAAATAATCAATATCACACAGTGGACTAAATCAATCATTGATGCATAACAGTTCGCAACTGTATGAATACATTTGAACAGAAATACTTTACTACATCATATCTGTACTAGTGAATATCCGTATGTCGTATACAATAAGAAGACGATTTCTGGTTCAATTGGTTGCTTTAATTAGCGATAAACGCTAATGATATTTATGTTAAATGACAATAAAAGTTTTACCACAATACACTGTCGAATTCAGAGAACACAATGATGACAAAGTCCCTATCAAACTAAATAAATTATCATCGCCATTTGTTATAATAAATGGTAGTTATTATCGATTTTTTATAACTGACAGTTGTGAGAAGTTACTCGTCAACATGGCGGCCTGTTTGAATATTTGGGCTACATGCTTCGAAACATTAAAATACTTCAACCAGTTGCCATTACTTGTTTGTTTGAACCCGGCGGTTATGTCTCTTATTTGCAGAATCCATGCAATTGCGTATATTAGGTTTGTGGGCAATCGCTAATCTACCCTGTCTTACTGTTAATTAATCATTTTATTTGACTAAAAATATCGTAGTAGCTGAACGATTGAAATATGTGCGCCAATCTATCATTTGGACGTAATGATAATTTTTGGATGGGATTGGCCAACGGCTAAAGACGTACATTTATTTATCATAGACCAACCAATACCTAGTATCTGCTGTCCAGATTCTTACTTTACTACTTACGCCTAATACCTCACTCGAGCATAGGCCACCAACCAGTTATCTTCAACCAACTCTGTCCTGGGCTTCCCTTTCCAGTTCTGTCCAATTTTTGTTCATTCTTCTCATATCTTTCTCTATTTCTCGGCGTAATGTGTTCCTTGGCCTTCCTCTTTTCTTTTTGCCTTTAGGGTTCCAAGTGAGGGCTTGTCTTGTGACGCAGTTAGGTGCTTTTCGTAGTGTGTGTCCTATCCACTTCCACCACTTCTTCCTGATTTCCTCCTCCACTGGAATCTGATTTGTTCTCTCCCACAGTACGTTGTTGCTGATGGTGTCTGACCAACGAATACGAAGTATTTTGCGTAGACAACTGTTAATAAACAATTGTATCTTCTGGATGATGGCTTTGGTAGTTCTCCATGTTTCCGCTCCATACAGTAGAACTGTCTTGACATTTGCATTGAAAACCTTGATTTTGCTTTTGGTTGAAAGTTGTTTGGAGTCCCAAATATTTTTCAACCGTAGAAATGCAGCCCTTGCTTTGCCGATGCGCGTTCTCACATCTGCATCCGATCCACCTTTCTCGTCGATGATGCTGCCCAGATATGTGAAGGTGTTAACGTCCTACAAGGCATCTCCATCAAGAATGATTTGGTTGGTGCATGTTGTGTTGCACCGGAGAATTTCGCTTTTTCCTTTATGTATGTTGAGACCTAGTGCTGCAGAGGCTGCTGCTACACTGGTCGTCTTCTCTTGCATTTGTTGTTGCATGTGCGATAGAAGAGCCAGGTCATCTGCGATACCATACAATAATAAACAACTTGTTCTCATTAATTTCCATTAGTAATTTTTAATTCCATCTGTTCACTGTAAACATTTTTAATTAACAAGACTTTCATTATCGATACTTTTATACTGAACAGTAATAACTTAAAAAGGTCACTTATTTAGCTTTCCGTTTAACTAATAACTAGGACTTTTATTTCCCACCTTCCCCCAATTAATAATTTAAAAAAAAATATATTCAATGTCAAAGTGCATTCCATTGCTGAATATTTAAAAGTTATGAATTTCAACATCATTCAATTCACCAAAACGAATTGGTACAGTTTAGCTATATAACACGTGTTTTTTTGGTAGATTTATGACATCATGAATAATCATGATGATAATAAGAATAACACAAATTATTGATTATTTGGGGTAAAAATATGTGATAATTATTCATCAAAATTTCTTGCCTAACAAGAAAATATGAGTAATGATCACAAAACTTGCTTTGTAGATTTCATTGTGATTTATATATGTATGAATACAATGAATTAGAGTAGAATTCACACGTGTGTGGTTAAGTTTGTAAACTGTGAAAATATTATGTGTATCAGTTAAATTAACGCCATGAAAGTAGTTATTTTTTTGGGGGCTAAAATCAAAATTAGTTTGAAAAAAAATGTATTACCCGAAATTCTTTGTTAATTATATTTTAGCTCGACTGTTTATTTATAATGCCAGACTATAATTACCAATGTGTTGAGAGTTTAATCTCAGACAACATTTTGTTTTAATAAGTAATTAGAAGTTAGAAATCCAGATAGATTCCTAGAATTTTCGATTTTTCGGAAATGTTTTGGAAAACAGCAATTCTATTGTATCGACCGATGAATATCTTACGATTATGAAGACCAATTCCACTTTATATAGATAACACAAAACACTATCGACGGAAATAAATTGGTTCGCTTTGTAACAATTCATTAATAGAAATAAAGAGACTAAGGGTGAAAAAAGGCAAATCCGCCTTACTGGATGGAAATTTCTGTCTTGGAAAATGATAGTTAATCAAGGAGGACACTCACAGTCAGCCAGTCAGTCAGTCAGCAACAACGTAGAACTTCGTACGTAGGTACTACATCAGTTTAAGTTGGCATACCACATTAGCACAGAGATATTGAATTGTCACTTCACACCCCATATTAGTAGATTTGGTAGAAGTATTAGCATTAATCGGAGTGATTAGGAAGACACTGGTTGATAAGGTAAGAATGGGTAAATTTCATTAGAATTGTTGACGTAAATCAAGGAGTGATTCAAACTACTGATTTCTCTGGACAGAATGATCCCACCAAAATAGTTCAGTTATTTTTCTACAAATCAGAGTAACAGTTTTTATAATTGACATTAAGATGTTGTGTCCTTTCATATTACAGATCGTAGAGCTCATCGTATTCAACATAATTTATAAACTAAAGCCCTGAAAACATTCGTAATTGATATTTGGAGCTTGGCAAACTATCCATTTCTGAAGATCATGGCATATACCTGTAGTGTTTTACGAGATAAACTGTTAAACGGTCTATTTGTTACTTGATATCTACTACTATATTGCATTTGGAATACTTGCGATGGTGTTTGTTTTGAATTCAAAGCACGAATAAAAGATGTTTGCAGTAATTTGATCTAAACTTTTTATTGAAAGTGTAAAATTAGTTTCTGCATCATTGGCCAATACACTCTACCAAGCAGTTAGTTACATTTAGATTAATCTATGCTAAAAATGAATGTCAGCTGACAGTTTATGATGTACAGACACGTTCTGTAATAAATATAAACGAACTGTATGCATTAACATAGTAAATTATCAGAAGAAGACTACAAAGTTCACATAACACTACTCCCTGATCAGGAATTGTATCTAACAATTTCTTTTCTTTTACTGAAATAAATACAACTTTACATTTTTAATCTGATAAAGTGTATCTACAGTGAAATATATAACAAACAGTGTTATTCAGTTGATAAAAACATTTACAGAATTGTTCACTCATATGGGAATATCAATTAACATCATGTACATAAATGGATATTCAATTGCCCGATCAATCAATATTCAGTCACCGATATGTCCCTGACCTCTTTTTATCAATATAAAAAATCCTACTTTTATAACCCGTAACAGATATAGCAGGACGGTGATTTTGAAAGATATTGGTGTATTAAAACGTGTAGCGTTAAGCTTTACTCTAATTACTCGATTCATATTTTTATTTCTGTCATGAGTGGATGAAGAAATCACTAGGAAATTTAAATTTGATTTTCATTACTAATTAACCCGATGATCAAAAAGTATAGCTTTTTTAATGACATCTGTGACACCAAACATATCAAGTTTGCATTACGGGGTTGTGAAGATTGTTAAGTTACACATTTTCGAAACCATGAATCGATCAATGTTATACCATCATTAGAAACTCGGAAGCAGTGGACGGCCGTTTCGTCCTGGTATGGGACTCAATAGCAGTGCGCATCCACGACTCCTGCACTCCGCAGGATTCGAACCCAAGACCTCCGGTTTTGTAGGCGAACGCCTAACCATCGGACCGCTGAGCCGGTATCTAACGGTGTTAATGTCTAACTTGATCAATTCACGGAGTTGCGCAACCTCGTACACAGTCTTCGGTAGTTACTGTCTACACCCGAACAGGTTGAACTTCACTGGTCACGTCTTCCCACTAGAACTTGGAGAAGATTCCTCACGAAGCTAGTCACTAGTGAGCACAGGTAATTTGCATTACAGGGTTGTGAAGATTGTTAAGTTACACATTTTTGAAACCATGAATCGATCAAGTTTGACTAAATCAAAATGGAATTAGGCATTTTTTTTCAAAAATATGATCGAGAAAATTCGAAAACAAAATACTCTCTCTATTTATAATCATGAACAAACTACTAACCATATGATCATAAATGTAAAATGCTTCATATTCATAGAGAATTTGTTCATTTAATCCATCTTCAATTTGACTATCCAACAATGTTGGATCTCTAAGTTCACCATTAATTTGAATTGGCGCTAAAAAATTATGCAAAGAAATTATTCTTATTGATGTAATCAAACAAAAAGTGTGATGTTGAATTTTTAAAAAAAAACACGCAGTATTTCTAAACGATACACCGCTTTCGTAGAGTGATTTAAACATAGAACTAATTTTAATAGTTAGCACATGATGTTGATATATTCTTTAGGATTTATCTTAAATAACAATTAGTAAGAGTCGGTTTCTACTAAAATCCTAATCAGTTGATTTGATTGTTTAATCATTTTCATATTCAGTTAATAAAACGAAGCTGTACGCTTATTGTTAATCATTATTATGATTTTTAAACAGAGTTATTCCAATCTTACTGATAATATACTGAGTAAATAAGTACAGAAGTATGGAGTTCTTAATTATCCCTAATTCGTCTGCTCTTAGTTTTGGAGAATCATAGTGTTCATGTACATGTCTGATTGTACAACAGATGTAAATGACCGATTAGCGGCAGTTAACTGAATAAAAAATTACAAACGAATAATTAATTTGATAGGAAAGAGCCTACTTTTTAATCAAGGTATCATAAATATTCTGTAAACATATGATATAGTTGTTTCGTAATTCTGTCCGTAATACATGTACAATTACATCGTTTCGAAATTTCTTGATATCAAGAGTTGTGTATCCGATTTTCCGGGGGAGTGTCAGCAAAATGCGTTAAACTAATGAAGAGTTTAGTGAATTGCTTGTCTTTCTAATTTTTGAAAGTTTATTGATTACAATTATTAGAATAGTATGTGGCATGATAAAACTATGAATATTACAGATTGTAGGGTTGGACATTGAACATTGAACCTATATATACATATCATTTCATGTTTGAATAATGCTTAATCATCTCCCTAGTGTCATTTATTTTCATTTAAACTGCTACAAAATATTTACTTGAAACCATTTACTTTACAATTGTAAATTTTCGGTAAAAAAAAAGGCAAAATAACTGAGGAGTTATTTTGATATTCAGTCAAATGTGATTGAATAGCATAGATTATATTTAAAGGCAATTGTTGTTCACTTGTGATTAAGGATTTATCAAGTAAGTGACTAGGAAAGGAACTCTCAACTGAACTGAGATATACAATACAATAATACATGACAAAGAAATAACTTGTAGATTGACACTTACCATACACAGCCAGAATCCAAGTAGTCAGCACTATCAATGACAGCATAATTTGCATATAATTGAAATGAAACGTGTTTAAAAAATTGAAGCTTCTCCTAACAATTACTTATAACAATATGATCAATGTTAACTCGATGTAAATTAGTAAGTAGTGTGTTTAATCTGGAATTTTATACACATATATATATGAATGCTTAATGTGTTACTGATATGATAACATAAACAATTGTTATGCGAAATAATTTTTATTGGTTTTATGTTAGGTGATTTTATTTGTTTAATGGTTCCAATTATATAAATGTAAATATAATTTTCAAACAATTCATACATGAATTGAATGAGAGGCCAGTAGTTCGAGTGTAGTATAATTTAGACTGGCCAGTTTTATTCTGGTTAAACATTGTCATACAAGTAAACTGGAATAGAACAATAATAATAATAATGTTGATAAACACAATTGTCTAGTAAATTTTTTGAAAAAATAAAGTATACTGTAAATAATTTACTTACGTGATAGTTAGTATTTGACTTGACTGAATAAAAATTGTTACTTATTGTTGTCAAATGTATAATTGTCTCATGTTTCATGAATGAAATAAAATTTCTATCAGGAAGATTGTTTTTTGATTGGTCATGACGTGTTTATTAACTCGTTTTGATGGGTAACACGATGACAGGTTTGGTACTACAACCTGGATTGTTGTTAAATTATTAGCGAACCTATTCAGTTTCTTCAAGAAATAGGTGGACTGAGGTCATTAGAGATTTCTGTGATGAAATATAGTTGAGATCATTTTTAGTGCTGTTAATATAATAAAATGGTCCAGAAGTTAGACGTTCATGCGCAAGACCGAAGATCCCAGGTTCGAATTCTGCGGTTAGCAGTGGTCTTGGATGGACACAACTGATAAGTCCCATACCATGACTAAACGGCCGTTCAGTGACTCTAGGTCTCTAACGTTGGTCTAACATTGATAGGTTCATAATTATAATAATTAGCTCGACAATCTTCACAAACCCATCATGAAAACAATATACGTTTGTGGATAGTGACTTATTTCCTGTTCATATCGATTATTTCAAACATCCCTATTCAAAATGCACTATAAATTCTCATTTTACTGTGTAATGTATATACCGATAAATTTCTCAAGTTCAATTCATCAACACATATTCCACCGATCAATCAACAATCAAATAGTATAAAAGATCTATCAACTTTAGTGTTATCGTTAACGCAATAGTTCAAGAGTTGATGTAAATTCGTATAATTTACTTTTATTCTTTGCAGTGATCACTGGATCATTTGTTCCAGTTAAAAATGACTGTTTTATTCAGCCTCTCATCTCGACAAAAGTTTATTATGATTTTCTGAATTCCGTGAAATGTTTTCCTTGATTTTATCACAAATTAAGATAGTCCTTCTAGAGTGTTTATCAGACAGAGTGATGGGAATATGAAAATGTAGAAGAAACTTCTGCGAGCTACCAACTTGTGAATTACCAGTTTAGTGCAGTAATTTTAGGCACTTCTATTCGAAATAAATCTTAGTAGTTCATTAAGAGAGTAATATACAACACCTAATGTTTTGGTATAAGTTGGACAGCTGTTTCATAAACAAGCCAATGTGTCCACTACTGACTAGCTTTGTGAGGAAGTTTTCAGAGTTCTAGTGACAAAACGTGACCTGTAGATTTCAAGTCTGTGAGGTGTGGGCAGTAGCTACCGAAGACAAATGGGTGAGGTCGCGCGAAATCCCTAGATCTATCAGAGTTAGACATTGACAAGATTGGATGCCAGCTCAGTGGTTTAGAAGTTAGGTGTTCGCGAGCAGGAGAGAAAGTCCCAGGTTCGAATCCTGAGAGTAGCAGTAGTCGTGGATGCGTAATGCTGATGAGTCCCATGACAGGACAAAACGGCCGTCTGTTGCTTACAGGGTTTTTAATGGTGGTCTAACAATGATTAGTTCATGATTTTTATATGTAAAGACAATGATCTCCATAACTCTAATTGAACTAACATTGTCTACGGTTTATTACTATTAAATGCAGAATAGTATTCTGCATTTTCAGTTGAACTCAGAGTAAGTTATTATGGTCCTTCTGGTGTAATTACTCCTGATTCGGTGATAAAAATAACTTAATTTAATAAAATTTAGGAAAAAACAGATATTTAACAGCATAAACAACGGTAAATCACATTGGAAATCGAACTCATTCAATGGCTTAGTTAATATCTGTCATAGAATTTTTTGAAGCGCTGGAAGTGGCTAGGACACACATTGCGGAAAGCACCCAACCGCGTCAAAAGACAAGCCCTCACTTCGAACCCTCAATGTCAAAAGAAAACAGGAAGGTCAAGGAACACATTACACCGATAAATGGGTTCAGATATGAGAAGAATGAACAAAAATTGGACAGAACTGTAAAGGGAAGCCTAGGACAGTGTAGGTCAGGAAATAATGGTCGGCGGCCTATGCTCCATTGGGGGTCACACGTGTAAATAGAGTTATTTATTAATTGGGTTAGGAATTAGCGTATTATTCATAACATCATTAGACACTCGATACTAAAAAAATTATTATTTGTATGCAGGATCCACTTTTTTTAAATAGTGATAACTAAGTTAGCACTCATTAATAAATGTAATTAAACTGTTTAGATGTATCCAAAATTGATGTTTCTTTGATATGAGGCGGATGTTTGAAGTAATTTTCTTGCTGTGTTTACTGTACAACACTTAGAACTACCATGACCATTTGTATGCTAAGTCGTAAACTTAAGAAATCAGCAAACACCGTACATGGTTTAGACTCTGACTGGCCTACTGTTCGTTGTGCAATGAATAGGTTTTATAACAGGATGTTTTTTAGTGTCAGTGCCTAATGTTCAAGAGTATTACTCATAGAGAATAGATTAAACCTATCGATCATTACCATCCATCAGTTCTGCGGCCAGTATGAAAATTCTTCTTCATTTGCCTACTTACATAACGGATACGGAATAGAAGAGCATGATAATGACTAATTTTCTATTTAGAATGAGACCAATGGAGTTCAACCCTGTAGGGTGCAGGCAGTAACCACCAAAAACAAATGGGTGAGGTCGCTCAAAATCCCTAGATCAATCAGAGTTAAACATTAACACCGTTCGATGCCAGCCCAGTGGTCCGATGGTTAGGCGTTCGCGCACAATACCTAAGGACCGGGTTCGAGTCCTGTGGGGTACAGGAGTCGTGGATACATACTGCTGATGAGTCCCATACCAGGACAAAACGGCTGTCCAGTGCTTCCAGGTTTCTAATGGTGGTCTAGCAATGATCGATTAATGATTTCAAATGTGTAAAAACACAAATCTTCAAAGCTCTAACTGAAAATATTGTAAAAGTGATGAGATATCAAAGCTTTCATCAAAATCGAGTTAAATATATCTGAAATAGATCTCAAACTAAAATATGAGGAGTCTCAAAAGAGTCAGAGACAATATCTAACTTATGATCTATAAATAAGTTTAGGAAAAGATCTAATTTCTTGATCAGTAAACCTAATTTTAACTTTCGCAACATATTAAAATCTCAAAATAAAATCGATAAAATTCTCAAAACTGATTATGAACTATTTTCTTTATCACAGCGGACCTATTATTTATGAATATCAGTCAGCAGAACAATTTAGTCACTTCTACTGAGTCCAACATTACATTTGTTTGTTTATTCTCACTAAACGTTGATTGGTGCATTTTTCGGGGATTATTTGGATAGGTCATTTGATCGATTAAAATTCATCAAAAATTGTGCCTACAAATTAAGCATGTCTCCCCACCCACCCCCCAACCGATAATCTGATCGACCAATGAATAATACGTTAGACGAATTCCAATGCAAAATTTAATAATAATTACAAATCACCTTATCATCTTCAAATTCAGCGAAAGCGCTTCTCTTAATGGAGGTCGATTGTACTGTCAATTCGCCAATTTCCGACGTTCAATCAAATGATCATGAAGTGAAATCTAGTCCAACTGTGATATGCTATGAAAATACTATTGGAACACCGACAACAGTTGAACACTATTCTGATTTATATGATAACAGATCAAATAAAGATCCTAGAAATAATTTGGAGTCGTCAGTGAATGAAAGTGGTTATAGTTCTTATTGGTAAGTTACATTAAGTCACTATTATATTGATATTTATTGAATGATATACTTGAGGAACCAGATGTTTAGGTATATATGCCTTGTTTTAGAGTAGTAGTATATTAACAGTCACACGAACTATAACTGTGATCGGCTGAGAAGATCTTTACAAGAATAGGATTAAATGTATTCCGGCAAAATATGCAACTATTACTATCACGTATCTGCAAACTGACTGACTAGGGTCAATAATTCACTATTCGGTCATTTGTAGCTTCAAATATTAAATGCTAAGAGAATTTATCAGGATAACTAACGTAGCCGTGATTCTTCCCTCGTTTACGCTAAGTATTAGTAAATCGTCAGTAGGAAAATTTCTAAACATGCCCTGACTGTATATAATGATTAGATATTTTAATTTGGTGAGGCGGATCAATAATTTTTAAATATTTTTTTATCGACTATCACATGTTTTTATGCACGTGTTATACTATTCGAGTTTAATTGTGGATATTAACTTCTAAAATTATCCGGTTTTTTTTGTATCTCTTAAGTAATTATAGTTACATATCAACTGAAGAACCGTGTCCTACATCAAATAAGGGGTTTATAAAAGATGTATTTACTAAAGCAGAAGAAAGTGACACTCAATTTTGTGTCAATACCTGTCAGTCACTCTACACAGTTCCAGATGTTTCAAAGAACACTATATACCGTAATGTAGAATTTACAAGTGACAATAATGAGACAGTCAGCGCAGTAGAATCCATAGTTAATCATGGTGTAGATTCTAGCAGTTACAACATACCTGCGACAAATATGATTAGTTCTGTTGTTCACCACAATCACGCATCGACCGTTGCAAGTGAATTCACCAAAATCTTCAATTACCAACGTGATACTATGTCAACCCCAGATATAACACAGAGGAATGATGGTCAAAGAAATTTAAAAAGTGATCCTGATCATTTTTGGCTAAATCACTGTGAAGATCTTCATAAGTCAGTTAACCGGAGAGTAGACCATTTTACTAATGATCAACAGAAAGCATTGCACGGCTACATAGAAAGTGGGAATATGTCGACATGTCCAGATCAACAGTATGCACAGTCACATGCTTATTTAAACAATTATCAAGTAAAAGAGAACGATTCAAAACCACCTTATGATTCGAATTTCTTTGAAGTTGCTTGCAACGCGATGAATACGCATTCGCAGAATTACTCGTCTAAGGATTTTAATTATGCCAATTCTCAGAATTCTGTAATAGATTATGTCTCGTCATATCAAGATAGTAATCAGTCTTCTGAAAGTGTCAGTCCTTGCGTTAAAAGATCCTCTTTTTATCCTCAAGCTCATAGTTATTATTGGCCATGGGTGGACAGAATTTGCGCTGAAAATTGCGCTTCTAAATTAGGTTCAGTTTATACTTCAGATCTTTCTTCTAAAGGAATAGTGAACAATGCAAATTCAAACTTCGCGTCGCCCTACAACTCTCAATCGCTATTTATCAATGGTACTAATCTTTCCTATATCAGTGAAAAGTCAAATGAACAATCTCAATCTTCGAACCTTTCAGCAGTCAATTTATGTACAGGTGAAACAATGTCTGCTTTTCATTCTATTGCTCAAATGTCGAGTGATTATTCTGACGCATCTGTGATTCCCGGTAATATGCCAAATATCATTTTGATGCCTGCACAGAGTAGTGTTGATGTTTCATCTCAGTCTGTTGTAATTAGTCATAAGGAATCACAAGCAGATGGGAATAGTATAAACTATAGCGAAAATTCTTGGCAACCAGAAATGAATTCACTTCAGTGTTCATCACACAAACGATTAACAAATAAACAGAGAAAGACTGTATGTGTTTCAATGAGTAATGAAGATCGAACGGAAGAATCGAACATTCCCCAGGATGAAACCAGTACAAGTACGCACACTTCATCTACTTATGATATGTCTAATCTACATCGAGAAAATGAAGTTTGTTTAAGTCAATCAGTCTCGGGAAATAACTATGTATGGTCATCAAAAAGTAATAAAGTGAAATTTAATTCTCGTGGAAGGTCAAAAAAATACACTGATGCAATTAATTTAACACGAAATAGACCATTGAATGAAACAGCGCTGAGTGTAATGGAAAGTTGGTATACAAATCATGTCGATAATCCATATCCTACAACTGCAGAGAAAGAACAATTGGCAGCACTTGGCGGTATAACAGTTATTCAGGTAGGCTAATTTTAATGAAATACATCATCATTTGACCTTAATTTATCTCAGTGTCGTCTTACGTATTGTAGTCATCGTTCAGAACGCGTAAGGAATTCACACATTATATTACAGAAACTAAGTTTCCAGCTTTATTGACCAAAAATAAATGAACTTGTAGTGATGTGTATTTGACAGCTTATTCCCAAATGACTTTTAAATAGGGGTCACGTGTATGTTTTGAATTCAAATGCTTTTACACATCGTTTATCGTAAAAATGTTCGAAATTAGGCGATTGAGTTATTCGCAGTTACTGTAGGTTTATGCATCTTGAAGTTTTGAAGTGTAAAACCCCAACTGGTAGATGTTATCATTCTGACTATATATGTCTGCATTATTGTTTATTCTCGAAATATTTTGGTTCTGCTACTGATAAGCTGAATATTTATTTGAAAAATATTTCAGGTAAGCTCATGGTTTGCCAATCGACGTACACGTACAGCAAATACTAAACCGAAGAAGAATCGACGAAAGTTGTATCATCAAATTTATCAATTGGCCGTCGAAATCGAAGCCATGACACAGGGTGCACTTCGAGCTTCCGATTTACAGGAACGAATTGGGCAGATTATTGATGAATATTTAACATGAATTGCCCAGCTTTAATTTTTCATTACCCTCTAAAACACAACGTTTCTTTTTTCATCCTTGTTTATATATATCGATCCAGTTCCGGTTTAATTTTTTTACATCAGAGTCAGAGTCGTATTTTCTTGTTTATATTTTTTTATTACTTTACTTATTTTGAATTTTTGATCGATCAAAATGGTTCTTATTCTATATAACGAATACAATTTCTTGATTGAATACTGTTCTTCGTTTTTTACCTTGTTTTTAGGAAATTATGAGCAAATGAAGGCTGTAATGATACATTGACTAATGAATGCATTAGTGCAAGGTGATCTGTTACACGAATTCTTATGAACTAAGTTATTCGATCGATGCATTTCATCTAGTGATCTATTGATTTCGTCATGGCAAAACTAATAATTTACATTTAGGGACACTAGTAAATAATATATTCAAATGAAGACAAGCATTTCCATGTGAAATAATCATGAAGGTATCATTGTCAATGGCTTCAACTGCACTTGTATATGTCTTACTCTGATAAAATTAGGCAGAGGATTAGTAAGTCTAGTGTAGTGTATATTTTAGTGCACGGTGCAATTTGGTCTTAATTAGACTAATACTGGAGGCAATGAATCAGAGTTTCCTTCTAATAGGGGTGGAATATAATATGATATAATATCCAGGAATTAAATCCTAGACTTTTTTCCTCACATGCGAACGCTTTATTTTCAAATCATATGGCCGTTGTTAAAGTAATACGTCAGTACACTGATAATATTCGTGTGCTAACTGTTGACTAGCTTCATAAAGCAGTTTTTGAATTAATAGTGAGAAACCATGAGCGGTGAGTTTCAAGATGTAGCGTATAAATGGTTGTGGAATGTCGTTAATTGATTAAAATTAGTTATTAACACTAGTGGATCGCAGCTTAGAGTCCGTGAGCGATACCAAAGATTCGGCGTTCTGTTGCTTGTGATCGGGCTGTGGTTGAGCAAACCATATTCAATACTTCCAAGTTTATAGCATCCAAGTGAGGTCAGTCAGTGATGCGAGTTGTAGGTATTTATAAACCTACACGAATAAAATTTAGTTATTGCAGTTAACAGAAGTCTGGAAAAGTTAGCCAACTCAGTGTAGAAACAAGGAATCATTGTTTGTACAAACTGATGAGATACCAGCTATTTAAAGAAATTCGAAATCATCGATCAATCATTGTTAGACCACCATTAAATACCTGGAAGCACCGGACGGCCATCAAGTCCAGGTATGGGACTCATCAGCAGTGAGCAGTCACGACTCCTGCAACCCGCAGGATTCGAACCCGGCGTAGTTCAATCCTGTCGGGTGTAGGCAGTAACTACGAAATACAAATTGTTGAGATCGCGCCAAATCCCTAGATCAATCAGAGTTGGACATTAACACCGCTGGGTGCCGACCCAGTGGTCCAGAGCTTAGGCGTTCATGCACAATACCGAAGGTCCCGGGTTCGAATCCTGTGAGACGCATCAGTCGTGGATGCACACTGCCACTGATGAGTTCCATACCAGGACGAAACGGCCGTCCAGTGCTTGCAGTTTCCTACTGGTAGTCTAACAGTGGTTGAGTGATGATTTCAATTGTGCGAAAACACTTATCTTCATAACTCTAATTGAAAATTAGTAAAAGTCACTGAAAATCAGCATATGATAGTAATCAGAATGACTACTTCTAAAAATATTTCCACTATACAGTTGAAACGTTGGTTTGATTTCCACATTTCGGCATTGGTATGATTCATATATATATATATATATATATATATATATATATATATATATATATATATATGTAGAGTAAACGTAATGTCTTAACCACTAGACCGCAGTGACGATGAAACGCACCTTATTGACGTATTTACTTATACCATCCTACTGACCACATTGAGTTATATACAGACCTTTTTACAAGGGCGATTCCTGATCATTCTCCAAACAGAAATCTGTTAAATTTACTTTGTTGAAATTATGAATCGGTCACTGTTGGACAACCACTAGAAAGCTGGAAGCACTATACGGACGTTTCGCCGCAGTGTGGGACTCATCAATATTGAACATCCACAATCCCTGTACGTGGAGATCGAACCCTTGAACTTCAGTCTGGCACTGGAACGCTTCTAGATTTGTAATGATAGTCTAACATTGATCGACTCATGATTTCAATGAAATTCAACTATCTTCACAACCCTATCATGAGAATTTATTACAAAATAATCCACTTTCCCCATTCTACATACTAGAAAACGTATACTTCATTGCGAGCAATTCATTCATTCACGAACTAAACTTATTTCATGATATTTTATATTCATTCAGTTACTTTCAAAAACAATTATGATTGACACTGAACATGAACGAACAAACGAACAATCTGTTATGATGTAATTTTTCCAATTACCTCTTCTGATTTATATTTGTGATCAATCATTGCACATGTGACATGTGCAAGATCAAGGTTGCAAGTTTGTTTTTTCTTTTTTTGTAACAAACTTTAAAAAAAATTAAATAATCAGTGTTTCATGTAGGAGGATTTGTAATTTAACTAACGTTTATATCAGCTTATAAAATCATAACAGGTTTATTGATTGATTGATTGAAATAAACCAGTGATGTCTTGTCACAATCATCATCGTCATCATCATAATACTAATAACTAGCCTTGACAACAAAGATTCGACTGTTAATAATTTTTCCTTCAACATTAGACGCTTTTAAGCGTCTGATAAAACAACTTGAATACTCATCATTGAATAAAAATTTGTTACGTAATAAACTGACTTAAGCTGAAAGATGTAAGTATGCATTTCTACAATGGATAAGTCAATGCTGAACATCAATACCTTAAAAGCGTTATGTAATAATTAGTTCATTGCATACAAAATGCTTATGACTGATATTATTATTATTATTATTATTATTATTATTATTATTAATATTGTCACATGATTTGTATTTGACTAATCGAAACAGACTTACTTGATCGATGTGTATGCATTAACAAAGAGTTTCTGCAATATGTTTTTTTTAAAAAGTGAATGATGCGCCTTTGCTGCATAAATATCACAGTAGCTTGTAGGATTCAAACTGAGGTTTGGACTAAGGAATAACTGTCTACGTAAATAAGTTACGCGTCTTGCCCAGTTGAATTCGGAACAAGTGATCTGGGTAAAGGACAGTTCTAATATTCATCATAAATATAAATATATACATCATTACCTAAACGAATATTACCACTCAGTTATTCCAACAACAATTGTTCAGTTAATCAAATAAATAATATTCTATCCTTCCTGGATAGATCATATTCGTTCGACAGATAATATTTAGTTGCTTTATAACACAGACTGTCTCCTATTCTGGAAGAGTGCTTCAATTCACAATCAATATTCACAATTCCAGTCCAAGAGAGCAACACAATTCAATCAAAGTAGGCACAAATCAATATGGCTGCCGCCGTGACTAAGTATCAGCTTAAATAACACAAATGCAGTTCAGAAAGAAACAAGGAAACTCAGTGAAGACAAAACAAGTAGAAACTATAATAAAATACAAATATTATCATCTCAGAATGGAATCGAACAGAGTAACAAAATGTACAACTGAAGGAATCTCTATAAGGTTAAATTACAAATGTATGTATGAAGGGATTTTCACAAACAAAGACTTCAAAAATGGATCTTACAAGCTAGCATTCTGACTGTGACATTGCGAAGAATATCAATTCATGTCGGGAACACAGATGAGTCTTCTTGAATTAAGGGATTAATTTCCACACCTTACTCAGTAAACAAATCTAGTGATTACATTGTGCATTAATCGAGAGTATTTGGTCAACATTAAATTATCTAAAAATTATGACATTTGTAAGTATCATGTGGACATCTAGTTAAAATTCTTTGTTTTTTCAGAAATTTAAACTGGGATCATTTACGTTGAGTAACAAGTACTAAGTTCCCTAATAGTCGAGGATACTGAATATAAGCCTAACACTATCACACCTATTTGTCACAATTCTATAATCAGTTATGTTTTATACTTTCGCGAATTGTGTAGATAAAGTAGTACTCTCTAATTTGTCACGTTAAGTTGATAAACCTCATTCCACAACAACATTCCCGGTAAGTAATACTGGGAAAATACGTTCAATGATAATTTAACAACAAATAACTTTTGTATACATAAGACCACTTTTGCCAAATGCCAATTAAATTGACTTGCCATTTTGGCTAATAGATTAAAATGAAAAATAAGAATAATACTTATCACTTAAAGAAACTATAAACTTTCAGTTTGAAATCTATAAACTGTTTGGTGAGAATACATTTGAAATAATCAATCAATCATTGTTAGACCATCGTTAGAAACGTGGAAGCACTGGATGGCCGTCAAGTCCTGGTATGGGACTCATCAGTGGGAGTGCGCATCCACAACTCCTGCATCTCACAGGATTCTAACAAAGGACCTTCGTTCTTGCACGTAAACGCCTAAACTCTGGACCACTGGGCCGGGTCCTGACGGTGTTACTGTCTAACTCTAATTGGTCTAGGGATTTTGCGTTTCCTCACCCATTTGTCTTTGGTAGTCACTGCCTACACCCGACAGGGCGCGTTAAGAGATATTACACTGGTGCATATGCATTTACTTTTCCATTTTTCTTCGAAGTCCCATCATAGTATTGTTATGTTAGTTTACTATTCTGGATACAATACTTTCATTCCAGTTACGGTTTTCTTTTCTAGCTGCCAATGTTAAAATTTATCTGAAAAGTTACAGATTTTTAATGATCTCTAAATTGTTGATTCCTACTTTTAAAATTCTACTTGTTATATAATCTCTTAGTTAATTGTCTGTTTTTCATGAGAATGAAAATTGTCTAAGCTAAATGTATAAAAGTGAAAACGTGAAGTACAACTACCAATAGGATAGTCAACAAGTCCAGTGTAAGTTATAAGTCGATTTTCCAAAAAATATTTCCGGATAGGGCTTGTCTGATCATTTTCGAATATTTAATATGTGTGCAGTTTTCAGCATTTTTTAAAGAATTTCTTGTTTAATGATTAGGGTGAATAATTCCTTCATATATTGTAGTCTAATTTGTACTAAAGTTCTCTTTTCATGACCTAGTGGTCATTGTATTTGGGACGTTAAATGTGACTGACGTATTCGTAGTGGATAAACTTAAACAACTTTAGAAGTGTT